AGCGACAGGTATTGTTGACCACGCTACTTGGCGGCGGTGGCCGCTAGCAGTGCTGGTCGACATCCTCAACGTCGTGGCATCGATTTGAAATCGATCGTCGCCTCGCCGAAAAGCGGCGTAAAGCGGAGGCGAGTGTCGAGGTTGCTGCTACTACAGCCGCGACAATAAGAATACCAACAACAAAAGCAGCATTCAGTGCGGCAAGAGCAACAGCAGCGGCCGCTAGTCGATATCGCACGATAAGAAAACAAAAGTGAAACAACGACGGAAAGCATCGACAATCATCGAGCGTAGAGGAAGACATTAGCAGTAGTAGTAGTAGTAGCAGCAGCTTTCAACGGTGACGGCTTCTCGCAGCTCGAAGCTTGCCAGAAGTACTGCTAGGCAGTTATCTAGCGGCCAACAGTCCATTTGTTCGTGGACGACAATCGCGACATTAGTTGCTACCGCGGCCGTAACTACGGGTGTCGCAGTCATTACCATCGAACGAACGTCTGTCTCACCTTCTGTCCATCCACTTTATCGTTTGTTCTTGCTGCTCGACGTGCTATTTCTCCTTTGGAACCTTTCTAACTAAGCCTAGCACTGGCGGCGCAGGTAAACTATAGGACACGGCTTCAATAGATCGATCCCCATTGTGCGCGGGGCGGCGGCGGCGGCGGCGGCGACAGCAGCAGCAGCAGCAGCAGCCACTGCAGCATCAACAAATCGACGAAAAGCGAACAGCGACGGGGCAACAAGGAAAACTATTGACGGCTTCGTCAACCACCCGACAGGTTGACGACGGCAGATTTGCTGGCCTTACCTATCAGTGCCAGTATGCCCCGTTGTTGCTGCTGCTGCTGCTGCGGCAGTAGTACGAGGTTACAAAGTTGAGTAGGACGGCTGGCAGACGCTGGACAAGCTAGGCGGCAGCACCAGCAGCAGGATGATACTACCTGTTGGTCGATTAAACCGAATCGATCACGTCCCACGACCGTGGAGGGACCTCGTCGAGTCTACAGGTGGACGCAGCCAAGGTAGACTCCCTTCTTCGATCCGCACCTATTGCCTGGACGAGTTCTTTTTCGCAGTGTTTGTTGTTGGCTGATGTCACCAAGTTGGGATTGATGCACGACGAAAGTGTTGTTGTTGTTTTTGTTGTTGTTGTTGTTGTTGCTGTTGTTATTGTTGCCGTGTCTAAGGGACACAATAGGAAATAATAGGGCCAAGGCGGCCACAACGTGAAGATCACGCATGGGTGAGCTGTTGTGTCTTCTGCCGTGATTTTGTGGGCTGGCCGTTCTCCATCGAAGACACTGTTGATGGATTCGTTAAAGACGATAATACCCTGCAGACACATGCAGTTTTCAACCAGCCGAAGGAACCGTATTATTTAAAAAACGAAAAGACATTTATTTATGTGTGCACTTGTTTATTTCGAGCAAATGAAAACGTTTTGTGATATCTATTGTGTACAAGGAAAGGTGCGCGTGTTCAGCGAGCGAACGAATTGCGACAATATCGCCAGACCGGATTGAGTGTTGCGCCGTCAACACGTTGCCAGGCCAGTTTTAGAACGACAAGAGTGTGGTAGCACCGAAATCTGATTGAAAACATTATTGCTTATGACATCATATGATTAGTTATAGCGGAACGGAAGGGTACACGGTTCTTCTACGTAGTGGAGGTGTGGTAGCCATAATGGCTGAGGAAATGGTTCCTCTAGAAAATCCCCACCGCGCTGTAATTGTCAAAGCCGAGGGCTCTGAGATGTGTCACAAAACCGCCTACGAAACTCAGGACGAGCCAGCTGAGTATGTGACGTTAGGCGACGCAGATTCCCACACTCGGCCGAGAGTTGACGCTGAGCAGGAAGTATCCACGCTTTCAATGTCCGTCCGAGCGCATGCCGAAAGCGCGACCGCTTCAGTCGAACGTGCTGCAATGAACACCGGTACGACCATGGCAACTTCATCGACCTCGTGCTCGCTCTTAGAGCATGAACAGATCGACTGTGAGCAAAAGATGTCCGCCAATCTAGCACCGTTATCGAATCAACATCAGCAGCACCATCACCCCCATTATCACCATCAGGGGCCAGCTCATCAAGAACAGCACACATCGCAGGCTGCTGCTAAGCACGATATGCACTGCGATAAGCCCCCTGGAGTGCCCACTGCTGCAGCAATTTCTCAGCACGAAGTTGTCCACGAAGTACATAACGTACACGAAATGCAACCGCTTCAAGAAATTCATCTTCAACTTCATCAGGTCCACTCGATGCATCAGATGATGTACCCAATGCAGCATCATCTGCAACAGTTACAACACATAGGTGCGACAGGAGTAGGAGTTCAGGCCGGAGCAAGTCCAACAGGCACGATTGGAACTGTAGCGACGCACGAGCTTCACGAAATGCACGAGGAGCACATCGTGCACTCAAACTATATCCTTGAGCAGGGCGTAACGTACACCGGTAAGAAAACGCCCGAGCTGGACACCACACGTTCACACAGATATATAGCTATTAGCTATGATGTTATACTATTAGACACAAGTATTTAAACCAACGAGGTACGTGACGCGTGAATATTTTCCGTCGTACTTAATGTGGCATTGAGTCTTGTCTTCTCGGCATAACTAAAGTGTTCTCGATTTGAGGACGTGCATCTGTAGACACGAATGCACGCTAACTCTACTCTAAAAGTGTATGATTAAGTGTATTTGGAATGGAGTGCGTATGCTGATACGCATGATGTCGGGGGACTTTTCTAAAAGTCATAAGTAATCGTATTACTAGTATTATAAACAACTTCTAATCAATGACTATGATACCTTGGATAAGGTTTATCTCTCTCCTGCTTAAAATGGCTTTTTGGACGAAACCTCTCCTCCTTTGTCTAAAGGGCGCTTTCTGCTGTCTGATATAGTCGCTGGCGACGCTATTTGATGCCTGTGATGTAACGAGAGCAAGTATCATCGTTCCTGAATAGAGCTTGTTTTACACTTGGCAGGTATATGAGCGCTGCTACTGCGGACCATATAGCCAAACCGGTAAAGGCTTTTGACAGGTATCCGACCTGGGTACTCAGGTGGGCAGTAGAAAAGGGAAACTCAACCACCGCCAGCCAGCTCTCACAGCTTAAACGGATTAGCGATATTCCGGTATTATGGCGGTGTCATCCTCGGATGCGTCGCAGTGATTGAGGGTTTGTTGTTCGTCCTCTAGTTACGTTCCAATGCAGGATCGACCGGGGGGAACGATCACAGGTAAAGCGATATTGAGTTTGGACGACTGTCATACAACAAAGAAATTTCCATACACACAATTCGATCATGTTCAGTATTGTCTGATACGAGCTTGTATTAGATTCTAAAAATCTTCACAGATCCGAGTCGTTAACGGCTCAATCAGCCAATTAGTCTGTTGATTTCCTACAAGACAATGTTGCGTTGGGATAGAATATCTTTGCAACACTACGACTGGCAACGATAGGACGCATTTAACCGAGGGCACGCCAAGTATGCACCTGAGTTGTCGTTACCCAGATTTGAATAGTATGTCGTGTAAAGTCGCCGGGTTACGCCGGGGGGCAAGCATGCTTCCCTTCGGTAGTTTGCTGTCCAAAATTAGCAATGAAATGGGTTTTTCGTCCCCAGAAGCGTTCGCTACTCGATCGACGGCGTCGAGCTAATAGAAAACGATCAGCGTTATCGATGCTGGCCAACCGATAGGCCCTCAAAAAATATACAGCACTTTCGTAAAAACAAATTTATAAACAACAGCGCATTCTACAGATGTCTGCCTGTGTGACAGAGTTTATCAAGTCTAGCCTTGATCTGCAGGAACAAACTATAACTAGATGTAACGCTATAATTGTGTTCGCATTATCATTGGTGTTTATGGACAAATTGCGTGTGCATACTAGCGCAGCCGGTCGCGGATGCTATCTTGTAGCCATTTTTTTTTTTTGCTATTTGCATTGGTAGTCTGTCGACGCTAATCCTGTTCTTTGTACTATAATCATCGTGAACTATGAAGAGAACACTATAAGCTCAATAAATATTGAGGATTTCTCGTTTGTCTACTGGATATCTCGATTTAACTGCGCGAGGCGGTTCGGCCGCTGGTTGCGGGAGATCGAAAGTTTTTAGCCCTGACGGACCAAATCGATGATTCATGTTCGATAACGACACGAGCAGTGGAATCGCCAACGACGCAGGGTAACACGTCGAAGATTTCTATTCGGTTACACTGGCGTATCGACAAATGAATGATTTTCAACCGAGCTCGGCATCGGACAATAAAGCCCCCTAAAAGCAACCTTAAAACATTATCATAATCTCGAAACTGAAGCACAATATATAAGAAACAGCAGATCCATAATGTAATCGATATTCCGATCGATGTTGCCCACTTTGCGTGGCATTCACATATTAGGGATGGCGTATTTAGGGGCTTAATAGCTAACGTAAGCAGATGCGCGTTTCGAGATACGTGCGTCAATGCGATGGTATATATAATTCAATGAAAATTTTATCTTTCACTATTCCGGTGACGGAATAGGGTATACTATTGTGGCTAAATGCTTTTTGCCGATGATGTATGTGGTATAGGCCTTCAATTTAGGTTATTACAGTCCTAAACGATACGCAAGATTGGCCCGCAAGATTGGCCCCTTCGATTGGCCATGGTCACTGATTTATTGCAAACGTCGAGTGGGCTTTCACGTGGAAAAAAGTCGAAGAAAAAAGTGTAACGGATACATGCGTAAACAACATACGATAGTTGAATTATTTGAATTTTAAGGGTAACTTGATAAGTACGTCTATTTCCTGACTTATACTATGATACATTGTTGCCCCAACGAATAATGTTAGGTAGACGTGAGAAAGAGTGCCTGCGTTTGACCATCTGCGTAGATGATATGGCTACGCATCTACATGTCAAATGGCCTCTGTTGATTCACCTGTTTTCGTTTTTTCTTTGGGTCTGTGTGGCTCGGACCAATTTTCAGTTGTTCCACCCATCAATCGAGGACTAAACTATCCGTCATATAGCGCCTTGTACAACCAAGACCGCGGTAAGTGACATTACGGCTCCTACAAACATTGCACTAGAAATATACGCACCAAGTTTTTATACGGAAAATAATTGAAGTTTACTAGTAACTGAACTGGACTTCTAGTTAAACATTTGGTACCAATCGTTCCATTAGCTCAGCATAATGGGACCGACATAGAACTGTATATGCGCTTGCTCGTCATAAACCCAGTCAATACTCCACAACTTTGTTTACGAACGCACCCACTATCACAGCGAAGATCAAAACTGAGTAAATGAGACGTCGTTGTAGAAATGGGGTCCCAGTTGACAAAAACCAGATCAATTCCATGAAAACGTTAAGCGCATGCAAAAGCATTAGCACTTAGCACCAGCAGTTATCGTGTTTCTGTTGGCACTTATTGCAACAATCGAATGGGAACAGACAGTAACTGAAAGAGGATAGTAGGTAATAGTATAGTTACTTGCCGTTGATGGTCGCCACTTGACGCACCCGCGTTCTGTCCACACACAGAGCCATTTAACGTGACGCGCGGGCAAAAGACGGACAGACAGACAGACGGACAGACAGACAGACAGACAGACAGACAGACGATAGAGAACAGCAGACAAAGTGACAGCGAGACCAAAACTAATGTCGATAGTGACGACTATGACAAAATTGGACAACAACAACGGCCGGAAAAGGAGATACTACATATATATGTATATATATATAGACTCGATGCATAGTCACCGTACCTAAGCCAATCTACTGAACTGCTGGTAGTCGTAACGGCCATTTGGTTCGTCACTTATGTAGAATGTTACTGTCTTACCCTAGGGGACACTTGGTCGTCTTGTTCCTTTTGGAAGCAATGATCCCGCTAACATGAATCACGGATAGAGACGACCAAGATTTGACATTTTATGTGTGGGCTGCTCATAATGCTTCTCTATAAGTTGCTTGAGAAGGGGCCAATGAACAGGTGAAACGAAGCTGGCTAACTTGTAATTTAAAGTAAATACACAATGCAGCGATACTGATTTTTGCTTAGAACAGAATCACATACAACGAGCTTTGTCATCTCTCCCCCGATTTCCATGGCCATAAAAAAGTTACGGCAGCAAAACTCATTCGTAAATACTGCGTTGAACCAGGACGTCTTTACTTAAAAATAGTTAGATATCTTCTCCGGCTAGCTAGTCCATATCTAGCTTGTACCATATCGCTCCAGCCGATCATTACGCTGGACACTTACGTCCATAATGTCAAAGATGATTACTGCACAAGCATTATATCGCCAAAGCAGATATAATCGCCAAAGCAACAGTATTCGCTTGTAATAAATGGATGACGCTACCGCGCGAGTTGAACGTTGAAGAGAGGCCAGTCCCATCAGTCGCTACTGACAAAGACAACCACCATGATTCAGGCTCAAACCCAAGCGGACAAACGCACGGCGGAATCTCTCAGACGAGCTACTACTGAGTGGCGGCCAGCGACTGGAGAACACTAACCCCCGGGGGAGGGGCGGGGGAGCGGAGCTTAGAACGAGATGTTGGCTCGGACCAGACAAGCGTCAGCGAGAAGGAATAGGGAGAGGAGTGGAGTACGGGGTTGCCAACGGGGGACGTTCGGGTACTCGGGGAAACGAGCACAGAAGGATCCGGCTTCTCCGGCTGGGTGACGGGATCCCATCCAATGGGGAGGGATTTAAGGCTTAGGCCGTCGGCCTCCCGCCATTGCCTCTAGTGCCACTGCAGTCGCTGCCTCTGTGTTTGCTTCATTCCGGCGGTTCGGCCTCCCTGGTTCGATGCTTTCTCTCGCTTTTTATCTTCCGCACAGTTTCTCTGTCTTTTTGCTCAATGTGCTTCTACTGCTGCTCCTTTTTCCCGGCCTCTTGCCTTCCTCCGCTGGTTCTCTTGCTGCTGCCGGGTGTCTGCGTTGCAGGCAGGCACAGACTCACTACTACACACGGACCGTGTGCCTCCCTTACGTTTCGCTCTAGCAAAAAGATGAACCGGTAGACAGAAAGCTAGCAGGAGGCAGGCAGGCAAGCACACACGCAGGCGACCAGGAGAACGAAGCTCCAACAGCCCAAGCAGGACAACAAATACCGAAAGAATAGGAGGGAGGCAGAGCGCAAGTGGGAGATAGGAAGGACTTCAGCTGTAGGGAGGCGCCTCTGCTTCGTTCGTTGTCGACAACGGGTGCCGGAGGAAGAACGACCTAACGCAGGAAGGAACGAGCCACAGCAGAACCTCCAGCCTACCCTATGCGACCCATGAAGCGTCTGCACATGCAGTATATACCGACTGAGACACACGTATACTCGAGCACTAACGCACATATAGAGGAAAAAAGGGGTGAAAAGGGGCAGAAGCAGGACGCACTCACACGCACGCACACACACACGAGAACTCATGCCCATACATGATGAGGACGTCACGAACGAAATATGAGGCTTGGTACAGTTATAGGGATATCTTACTTGCTGCAATAGTAGGCCTACCAAGCTGGTGGCAGAGAATCGCCAGCGTCTGTCTTTCTGTCCTATCGTGTCTCGTTTGTCCTCCAGTTCGTCCTCGATGTGTGCTTCGGATCGCCAGAAACAACATCAGCACGTCCCGTTTTCGCTCGTGCATCCATTTTTCCCGTAGCCATAACGATTCACACTAAAAATACATCAGTATAACATCCGATAGGAAAAAGGTTCATCGTAGCAGCCAACGTTTCCTTGCTACAAGTGAACTTGCTCGTTTGGTTGTGACATCCTACTTTGTTTTCAGCGCCGATTAAGGAGCGAAGCTCATCCAGCCACAAACGGAGATGAGTAAGAAAGATGGGCCACGAAGATCAGTGCTGAATAGGTAAACTCACAAGCAGGCCAATACAAGGTTTCATTCGTTGGCCTTATGAAGTTGCTATTCTCGGGTCTGGCAACACTTTCGCCAGTAATCGAGGCAAGATGGTGGTGTAGACAGAGGGCCGAGAATCGATGGCTAGGCCTTGTTTGATGATAGCGGTGGGCAGATATTCTTGTACATAGTATACAAGTGAAGTGAGCACTACTTCAAGCTCCAAGGGCGATCGGGAAGAGACGGAATGGATCCGAGAATAAGATCCGTTGTTTTCTTTCATTTGCTTGGTCTTTCTTTCCCCAGAGCTAAAGCCCAACTTCGAAGTGGAACACCTGCCTCACTGCGAGATCCCATAAGCACCGATAGCAGTTTTAGTAGCCACCGAAGAAAACCTGTTTCTGCGAGTATTACAACAATTATTGCGATTCAATAGCTATACCCTTTCTGGTTTTACTGGCGTCAGTGGCGGACATTTTCTAGTATTGTATCGCCACGCCCCCGCGTGTTCCCCTGAGACAATTTTTGCAGCAGATTGAAATGAAGCTGATTACCAGGTCGCCGTACGTCGCTTTATTTGAGTTACGGCTGCGTCTGAGTGTATCAGAGAGATTTACTGTTGCAAGGGTGAGAAATGCCAACTTTGCAATGTAATTGTTTTGAACAGGCTTGGTGCTCCGCCGAAGCTGCAAGCTAAAGGCTCAATAGCTGTACTGCCAAAGCTCTTGTGTCATTTTAAAAACGTCTGACAGCTTACTTACGAGTACAATTTTGTTTCTATAGGCAGTTTTCTTCCGCGATCATTCACAGATCCCGTGAGACACTATAAATATGCTAGCAGTATGAACACTGTTAATATAAGTTCTAAGCATGGTAACTACAAATATACTAATTCCATTTTCTATTTGTTCATTGTTACAGACTCCTTCTGCCTCTACCCATCGAAATGTAAGAATCAGCTTTTGCATACAGTTGCTCATAAATGCTTGATCTGTAAATAGCCTAACCATAGACCGCTATTTTAGCTATAAAACACGTTGCTCCAAAACAGGCATCTCATGCCATTGCTCTGACCCTGTCGACTGTCAGAAAATAAACAAAAACATTTGCCATACAACTAACATTAAGTTACTGATTCCCTTCAGATTGGTTTTGTAAATTATTCCAGCAAGCATTGAAGCGCGACGTGACGCATTAGAGATTGAAAAAACTGGCAGTCGAACAAGTTTTTTTTCATCGTTTGTTTTTGCAGACTAAACAGCATTCGATCGCGGAAGTATTGTACATTTAACGCGTCATAATTTTCTTTAATAAAAAAAGTCCCAAAAAGCCTACTAAAAACTTTTTAACATAAAAAGTTTTTAGTAGGCTGAATAATTTCAAATAATTCGAGCTGCGTGCGCCGTTGCGTGTCGCCGGTCGACTGGCAGAGCTTTATAAATCAGCAAATAGAATTATAGAACCTGACGGACTTGGGCCACTGGCACGATGCCAGCAGTTGCTGCCTAGCGAGACCTCCGGGGTGTTAGATTGATTCGAGAGTTAAGACGCACGCAGATTGGTCGGGTCATTAGTTAACGTGGATTAACACGTCCTCAGCCATAGACATGTATGGATAACCGACCGAGCCAAAGAATCGAGCTTAGTTCAGCGGACGCAATCCGTCTCCATGAGTTTGTTATTGACGCTTGTTTCTGTGAAATGTCGAGATTCTTGTCGGCACCGATGTTACCTTCTCGATTTAACAAGCTTGCTAGCTTTTTCAGCCCATATCGATGACGTTCGACAAAATTAATTGAACAGTAGACGCGTCCCTTGTCAGACACGAAAATAGTCACACACTGAGCTTAGTAGAACGTACAGGAAAAATCACTGCGTTTAGAAAGTCAGCATCAGAGAGGATTTCAGCCTCAGAGGAACACATTGTCAACGTGACACGACGGCGACTTTTATGAGGCGCCACTAGTATAAGAGGCACACCCCTGAATGGAATCGCCTGGCCATCGTATGCGCTAGCATAAGCGCTCACCCGGTTCGATCCTTTCAGACGTTTGTAGCGTAGGGAGACAAGGTAATCGTACGGAAGTTGTCTCATAGTTAGCTGCCGCACTTCAACCTTTGCGGAAACGATCGTTTTAACTATTTTTTCTGTCTTTTTCATAAGTTCGACTCATGTAAGGACTGGATAGCGAAGGACGACAAAACAAATAGCCACCTTATATATTAGGTGTCCAATGAAGTAGACTCAAGTGAATGCAGTCGGATAGTTTCAACTTTCAGGACATATTGCACAGCAGTGAAGTTAAACATGTTCACCTAATTTGTAACTTATGGAGGAGTCACTTTTCTACCTTACACGTCAATAGAATCGTCGACAAACATTGTCAGACTGTTGACAAGCTACGTAATAAAATTTCGAGCGTCATAATTTTTCGACGTTATGCCCTGCGATAACTCTTCGGAGCAATTTTCGACCCTCTCATCTGTGAGTGGATCCTGCAGAGATACTTCATTCCAAAATGAGATTCGCTTAAAAAGCAGACGTTTCTCCAGTTTTTCACAGTCAGATTGTTGACTTGGTCTGCCAAACGAAGACGGGCTTGCGTAATTCAGACGAACCCGACCTTTTCGAGGAGGTTGTGGCGAAGCGGAGTTTTCGATATAACGATACCACGGTCTTCTCATTTATTCTCGACGACATTATGCGAGCCGAATCTACCTTTTTGAGCGTAAATAACAGTACATCTTTTTCGATATTGCGAATTTAACGCGACAACAGCGGAGGCATTACCCTCAGTTTCAGTAACGTTGCCGGCTTCATGTTCAGGAACCTGAAATACTTCACTAGTTCTTCGTAGTGCACATTTGTTCCAATGGATCTATTGCAGTCTGCTGATCAGTGCTTTCTACCACCCTGTGAGCTCTGTCCCCTTACTCGTTTCAATACTCTACCTACGGAATCACCAGGAAATCACCTAAAATCAGTGAAGCTCACTTAAACATCACCACTTAGTTGTTCAATGTTAGATGGTAACGTACAATGCGCCCACTTGATATTAGCAAGCATAAGTGAATACTAGACTCCCTAAAATAATCTAATTATAACAAGCTATCACGTCTACGATCTCTGAAGTACGATACGTCAGTTTAATGTATCAGATCGCTTGTCAGCGATCTGAAATTGTCTGGTCGATGTGTGGGGTAAGGGTGTACAATAGAACGAGTTGCCTCTGTACGTTAAAAAGTTTGAAACTATCTCACTTTAATGCTGTGAAATTGGCAGTGAAAGTTAAAACTCTTGAGCTAGGTTTATTTAAATTTATTTGTTTGAGCAACTACTGGTCGATTAAGCCCGAATCACTTTGACGACTTTTTTTACACGGTATCTGTACGGGATCATCATCTATTCGGGCGTCCAGCTCAGCCACGAATGATGTTTGTGGTAGACGAAGCTTCCAGAGCTTTCGACATAGAGCTTTCACCCTGTCGTTCCTTTCCGCTGGTGAAAAACAGGCAGGGGCGCACCATTTGTCGCCATCAGCGTCGTCCGCGCAAGCGTGGCATTGTCAGTTAGAAGGTACCGTCCATATCTTTGGCCACGAAACTCAAACGCAAATAGGAACGATTTTTTGTGTTTAGCGGTGTAGCCAGTCTAGCGACGATATCAGAATGTATATGGCAATTGTTATTGTTTGTGTACTCTATTGCCCGTGAAGGTGAGATGCTAAAACGTTTTGCACGAAGCCTACAGCCAGCCCTAAATTTGAACCCGCACCCTGAAACTCGTGTAGCCTAATCAGTATTGCAAATCCAGACTTGTATTAAGGTGAATATAGGATGTAGCTGGAAGTAAATGTCTATCTAGTTGAAGGTCAATAGTTCGTATTTGCGTGATTCAGGTATACTGAAACGAGTGAGCATGTGAAGATAAAATTTTAAAAAAATTCACTATCTACAGGTCGAACGGAGCCATTCGTCTAACTGTAGTTTGACCATCCCACTAGCTGGGTTTCAGGTCAACCAATATCTTCATAGTACGCACTCAGTTATTGAACTAACTTGAGCCAGAAAATAAAGTGTCTCAAACACAATTTTGTTGCTATTTTGTGGCCGCAGGCCACATACTAGTAGTTATCGACTGTGCGAAACTGTAAAAACCAGTGGGCGAATACCTGTATAGGACTGTCTTTGAGGGGAGATTCTCCCAACGAGACTGGATTGGACCCTGACACATTTGTTGTCAGAAAGTCGTTGTGTGAGAACGACGTCCTTTCCCTGGTAATTTGTTTCGACTGCTAATCCCTTGTAGCAGCAGAGCATTTGCCGTCAATCTCAGCCCTTTATTCGGTTCGGTGGTTTACGAAGCATCTTCCCTTTCTCTACCTTTTTTCCGCCAATTTTTGAATCTGCCAACTGTCAATGTAGCTACGTCCGATGGGAGTAAATCACGCCAGCGCGTAGAATTCCCTTTCCCCTGCTTCAAAGTTTTCGGCAGAACCTTCATTGACGACGCCGCGTAGTTACCGAATGCTTTCCCACTGGCGTAAGCGCAATATTTTTCCTCCCTTCTGTAGAAAAGCGTTTCATATTTTCGAGACTCGCTTTGGGCTTTATCGAAGAGAAAAGAACTCCGCAACTTCCAGTCGAAAGCTAAATATCATTGTGGACTTGGCGGTTATGGAGCCGCCGCCGCCGCCGCCAATGCTGCTGCTGCCGCCAGGTGTCACACTGACGAACGTCCCGTTTGGCTAAGGCGGGCCGTAATCTAAAGTGATCAGTTTATTGTCTCCGATTCACCTTCTGTTACGTTTAGAGACAAAATGGCGGGGTTTGTTTCCCTCTTGCCGATCTAGTCAGCAGTACGCAGTGCCCTAAATCTCTTTCCCTATTCATATATATGTGGGCGATAGACGCGGGTAGTCGGGAAAAAGTGAACCGAAATAGACAGCGGAGACGAATTGGGGAATTACCCACAAAAGCAGCTATGCGATCAGTCAGCAATACCAATCCTCACAAGGATCTATTCTATACAATGTGGCACCTAAATGGTGTGCGTGTATCTGTTTGTGTCTACATATGCAGGTGTCCTATAGGAGAAGTTAACTACGGCTCGATAGATTACCTCAGTAAAACAAAGTACTTTTTTTACACTAAAAAAAGGCGAACTTCATCTTTCTGTAAATGATAACCGATATATTTGATAGAATGTGCCTTTGTTGGGTCCTTCACAATTGTGTTGTATGCATCTATTTATTCAATGATGACAGCCGAATGACTGAGCTTCCGCATTCCACGAACTATTTGTCGACACGACAACCCGTGGAGACTATTGCCGCCCCCTCCTGCTTGCTGACTCTATCGCTCGTCATTCAAGTGCTTCAGTATCTCAATTGAAAACGCAACATATAAAAGTCTGTGGCTCTCTCGAACTTCCTTCTCAAGAACCTATTAGTTTTAGCGCGTCGAAATCAACACCGTTCTGAGTCCTGCGCGAAAGGTTTAGCCCTGAATAGGAAGGTCTCTTCGTCGTAAGGGAGATTTGTGGTGATGAGAAGGACCCTGCTCTTCGAACGGTCGCTTTCTTTCGCTCTGTTCGATGGATCGAACAGGGTTTTTTGGGGGGTAGGAGCATGTCGCAGAGATGTTCTTGATGCTAAGCTGAGGTAGAGAGCGGCCGCGGGAGGGAATTGTTGCCTGCATTCAAAGCCTATGATAGTCGGCGGCAGCCGAAACATAAACTTGTTCCGGCGAAAAAGCGAGACACCCGTTTCAGACACGACCCAACAGCGCCCGTCGTCCCATTGACTCTTCTGCGGTCTCGTTATCAAGGGTCACATTTCAAATGTACCAACTGATTCGTATGGCTACTGGATGGTTAGCAGACAGCCAGAGAGAAGAGCTTACGCAACCTCAGTCGTTAACGAGCTAACTAACCGATTGATTCGTAT